CGCCCGGGGCTGTGGTGGGGGGGGAACCCACCAGCCATCCCTCCCCAGCTCTTCCCCTTCTCTCCTGGAGATCCAGCGAAGCCCCAGCCAGACTTCCCCAAAGCTTGAGGAGTGTTGCAGTCTGCCCCATGTTTGATCTGCCCCCCCCCCTCCCCCCCCATCTGACTAGACTGAAAGGGCAGAGCTGTTATCTGATGGGTGTTCAACTTCCACATTTTCATCAGGCCAGAGGCAGTTTGAAACTTTCGAGAGATGGTATTAACTGCCTGGCTGGGGTGTGGCTGGATATCATCTGAAAAGAGGGTTGGAAAGGAGCTCAGGGAGGACATCTAGTCCACCCCCCCTGGTCAAAGCAGGGCTGTCCCCAGCTAGATCATTCCAGCGGAGGCTCTGTCTACCTGGGTCTGCAAAACCTCTAAGGATGGAGATGCCAAAATGGACCAGGGATCTTGAGAAGACCAAAGAATTGTAGGTAGGGGGAAGTCTAAAGGGAGCCTTGTCTTTCTTTTTGGCTAGGTTTGTGGAAAGAGGGTGGTTACATTCAGGATCTGACAGGAGCCTTCTGAGCTGGCTCTTCCAGTGTATTTTCTGCAGGCATCCCTTCAGACCCAAGCACATGCAGACCCATGCTTGTGAGGAGCGTGTTAATTCAGCCCAACCATGTGGTGTCATGGCACTCAATTCCAGGGCTGCGCATCTCCACTGCAGCAGTGCCTCAGACTTGGTCTGTGCCTCCTTGGCATCGTGACAGCACAGAAAAAAACCCCAAAACTTCAACAATTCTAGTGTCCAAAGTAAAGCTTAAATCATTGTTTCCCTCCCTCCTATACAAGGCTTCATTAATCTGGGATTTGTTTCCTGCAAGGCATTTAAGCATATCATCTTTTGAAGCCCTCCTCTCATGCATTGCTCACAGGGATGCTAAGGTAGTTAGCTAGTTTTTCCTCATATCCTACTTTTTAAGGAATTATAATGTAACCTCTGTGGTAGTTTCCCCCCTCTGTCCTACCTGAATTTCAGCTACAAAATTGAAACATATTTTTTTTTTTTTAATTTAGTTGGTGTTCTGGTGAATTATTACAGGCTGTGACAGTCAAATTCATAAAAAAACCTCCCCCTGAAATCCAATTCCAAATAAACTTCTACTAGGCTGTTTCAGAATTTAGGATGCTAGTAGCCAAAATAGGGTTTCAAATAACTCAGTCGTGGATCCTGAACTGACAAGAAAAGGGACAATAATAATATAAAATATCATAGGGCACACAAATCTTACAAAGAGAGATACATTTATGGCAGAGGAACTGCTACAGTATAAGTCCATTGGATTTGCTTTAGACAAATGCTGTGTTCTGTGTTCTTTAGGGCATGATGTTTTCAAGTCGGCATAAAATTCCTTTGTAGTTCTATATGCAGTGTCGGTTGCACTGAATGGACCAGAGAAACAGAGCGTATGCTCTGAAAATCTAGGGCCTGATCCTCTGCTTGTAGCATCTCCCTATGACTCTGCTAGCAATGCCACGTGTAGTGGGCTGTGGGGAGAGAGGGGAAGGTGGGGGCTGGTAGTCACGAGACAGTAAGAGGACAGAACAGCATGCACTGTGACAGTGAAAAATAGAAGCGCTTGCAGGCAGACAGATTCTTTATCGGCACCAAATCCTGACTGCTCTGGGAGTTCTGCTTGCATAAAAACAGCAGGATCAGGCCTTGTTGGGAAGTCAGGGAGCATAGTACATATTTCAGACCCTGAAGAAAGTCCTTTTTACTTGAAAGCTATTTCCCCAGTAAATAAAGTCTGATGAAGTCCTGCATAATATAACTCGAGGGGATCGAAAAATGTTAGTATCTGCAGCCTGCGGGAAGTGCTGACTGCCCTCAGAGTAGTCGTGCTGACTTCTCTCGGTACAGTTATGCTCTGTTTTTCCGCCCCCCAGGTTTGGCGGGGTACAGGCCACCAGCAAATTGTCAACAGACCATTGGCTATACCAATAACTGAATGATGTACCTAAGAATTTAGGGCTAATTTCTGCAAGGCGTTGGGCACTCTGTCTGACCCCAATCCAGCAAACCACTTGAGTAAATGGATGGCACAAGTCACATGCTTAAAGTTAAGTGTGTGCTTAAAGGTCTGATCCAATGGAATCATTCCATTGGCTTCACTGAGCTTTGGAAGTGGCCCTAAATGCTTGGTGGGAGTGGGGCCAGCATGCTCTGCTCCTTGCTGGATTGAGTCCACAGTCTAGTCTTGTAATTTTTGCTCATAGTATTGCCAGAACTTGCAAAAAGGCAACACTGAGACTTTCTTAAGTAAACATATTTGCAAAAAAAGTATAGCTTTAGCCCTCTTGTATTAGTGCATCTGCTCTTTATTTTAGTGCTTGTTACAAATGATAGGATAGGAATAAAATGTTACATTGGAATTGTGCAAAAGTGCCCTTTAATATAGTACTACAAAAAAGAATGGAGAGGAGGTGGGCAGCTGATTTTCTTTCCCCGGTGTGTAAATCAGCCATAACTCCTTGAAATTCATAGAACTATGGTGGTCTAAAGTCCATGTAGTACACTGGGATCAGAATCAGGTCCTTAGTTGTTTTACTCAGAATAAAAGATAAATCCTGCATTAAGTCTGGGTAAAATTCGGGCCCTGCTGAAGTCCATGACAGGACTACTATTGGGTTCAATAGGGCCAGAGTCTCACCTGTTGTGTAAATTCATTTTTGTGCTATTAGAACAGATGCCATCACAAGACTTAGACTTCAAATTTACCTTCCCTAGAGAGAGGTTAATCCCATGTGACCTCATGCATGGAGGATACTTTCATATAACTCTCCCAAACTTGTAGCCCCTCTTGAGGCAATATTCCCATTGATTTGTGGCAACACTGAAGAGGGAGAGTTTCAAGATGAGGCCAGCAATATGGGAAGTGTGTATTCCTAAAAACAAATGCAATTGTTTTACAATAATGTTTGGGGTTCTCAGTCGCCTACACACATCCTGGGGTTTAAACAGGTTCGTGGAGTTGGGTTTTTAGATGTTTACTGGTAAATATACAAACCCTTTTGAAGACACCACAAAAGCTGTTCTGTCATGAATACTGCTACATTTTAATCTGGACAAAGAGAGCTATTTGAAAATGTCAAGAATATTGTAACAAATCTTTGGACTTTATAGCTATCACTATGCTATCTATCAGCATATGTAGACAAGAACGAAACATTTTTTTTGAAACAGAAACTCCAGATCTCTTGCTCCAAAAGTACAGTCCCCCAATCCCTTAGGTTAAGAAGAATCTCATGTATTTTGTAGCACTTGTATAGGAATTAGACTCAAACTGGGCAATTCTAATTCTGTCCAGTAGAGGAAAACAATACATGTCCATAGAAAATTAATTAACAATACATTCAATGTTTTTACACCAAGGAACAGACTGGAAGGTTGTATAGATTGTCATGTTCACATGCAACTCTTTGAACCAGAAGAAATGAAGAGCTGCCAAATATTTTTTTCCACTTGGGTGATTTCAGAAATATTAGCTATTCTCCTTTTTAAAAACAAAATTAAAGTGTACCCTTGCTCCCAGTGATATCAAGAGGAGGGCAGGGAACTGCCACTGACTTCAGCTGGAGGAAAAACTGGCCATAAATCCTGTTCTAATTTGGTTGTGAGCTTTTTTTCTTCCTATTTAGTTGGTTTAAAGGGTTTTTCCTTCTCCAACGATTGCTCATTCTCTCAGGGAGCCGGTGGACGAGGTGCTCCAAATTCCCCCTTCACTGTTGACATGTGGAGGTTGCCAACAGAACATCGGGGACCGCTATTTCCTGAAAGCCATTGATCAGTACTGGCATGAAGACTGCCTCAGCTGTGACCTGTGTGGGTGCAGACTCGGAGAGGTGGGGAGACGACTGTACTATAAACTGGGCAGAAAACTCTGCAGGAGAGACTATCTCAGGTACAGAGTCCCTCTATCTGACAACATTCTGCTCTTGTTTGCTTTCTTTCTGAAGTTTCAAAGTTAGTTACAAATTTAGAATGAAGGTTGGATCCCCAGTGCTGCATAAGAACTGCAAGGAATTTGCCATGATTAATTTATTCCTAAAATATAAAGGCTGAGGGCAGTTACAGATATGGTACCATGTTTGAGTGGTGCTGCCCAGATCCACAGCTTCAACATAACTAGGTGGTTTCGGTGCCTGCATGGGAACACCTTCAGTAGGTGTCATAGGAAATGGTGTTGGAAATTCAATAAACAGACTCTTTCCTTTTAGTCGGTAATGAGCCAATGTCCTACAATGGTTTGAAGAGTATTTTGGTTCTGCAGGTGTTGCCTTTTGGATTCAAGGATATTATAACTGAAGCCCTGAGGACAATTGGTGATGAAAGATCTTTTGGCAAATTTGTAAAAATAAGGTGTCTTGGTGCCTTGGCCAAATTCCATATCTGCCATTACCATAATACCACTTAGATAAGAGATTCTTTACTTAACTGAACTACTGTGTGATGTTTCTGTGCATTTATTATCTGGTAGAGTGGCTGTCTTTCAGCAGTGAGTGAATTAATCCCTGTTTCTAATTTTGTGCTTCAATTTGTAGTTTTCTAGGATTCCTCAGGCTGCAAGGCACTACACTTATACAGTCCTATCATATTAAAATAATTACGCTCCCAGCTTAAGAAAGCATCCTGTTAACTTGAAGTCAGAAGGATAAGAATGTACTTAAACATCGCCTTGTATACAAGTGTTTTGTTGGTTTTTTTGTCAATCCGATCTTAATAGTTTTTGTGTTAGTAAATCACTGTCCATTTTGCACTTACAAGTATTGATAAATAAGATGAGTTCAATTTTATATATTTTCCATTAACTTGATTATAAAGAGCCTGCATGTTCCATGTTCTTGATTACAGTTAAAGCATATTGATTTTTGATATGCTAGGTATATATGCTTTTGCTCTGCTAGGCTTGCTGTGCTAGGCATATATGCTTGTTATAATGGAGAAATTGGCCCCAATAATGAGACAGGCTGTAAATCTCCTGTGTATGTAATATTCTAACAACGATCCAGTCCTACTTCCACTAGCTGAATACTTGGTAACTTTTTAAATGAAAGAGTAACAGACCAAAGGAACAAGATTACTAAATCTCTATGCTATTTTCTATGCTGGGTGTTTTCAGTTATTTAAGTGTAATGTGTTCATCAGCTGTCTTGAGTTAATGAAAAATTTCACAACCTTCAGGTAATGTTAACATTATTTTTATTGGCAGAAGTGAACAGTGACATCTTCTGGCAGAGAAAATAAATGATTTCTTTTTCTTTTAGGTCTCTTAGTTCAGTAGGTTTTTGTTTTCCAAACCAGGCAGGTTATTTGAAGCAGGCTGTGTCTATAAGTACAGTAAAAAATATGTGAGGACAAATGGTTCTAAAATTAGTATGGCAACACAGAGAATGTAATTACATGAGAAAATATTTCAAACAAGTAATATTCAGCGTTTCCTCTACTTTATCAAACGTAATAAAAACACATTCTGCTTGTTTACTAATAGCAGGATTTATAAACTCCACAAGCTTCAACCTGCATTAGAAGATGACATTCATTATGTTGTCACACACAGTTGAACAGGTCATACTGTTCCAGTTGAGAGCAGCAATACATGCTGTGAGAGGGATATATATGTAGAGCATTCATTACAGGGTCCTTTTAATAGACAACATAATAATGTCTCAACAGGGTTTCTCAATATGGATGAAAAAGCAAGCCAGATAAGAAAATCCTTTGGGCTAGAATAGATTTCTAAAGGGTGATAGAGTCCATCTTTCTGAAACATAGCAGAGTCATTCATGAGTATAGAAGTCTTTGAATCTGAAGGGATCTCAGAAAGGCAACAAAACTAGATCGTGTGTCACACGATCACAGCGTCTGGCAACCCTGTCTTTTAACTGCATAGTAAGGAATAATAGCAACATTTATCAACCAGAATGTAATTTCTATTGCTGGATGAGGGGAGATGCAAGTATTAGGATGGTACACATTTGTTTTGAGATTCAGATAGGTGTCACTCCCATTGAAGTAACTCATCATCTTTCAGGATCAGGCTTTTTTTACTTTTTATCATAAAAAAGCAAGTATATTCTTTTGAAAAGTAGGCAAGATATATGATTCTGACAAATTTTCACTCCTGCCTTTGGGACCACAAGTTTTGAGTACCCTTGGTTGAAAGATTTTACCAAACACATGTTTAAACTTCTACGTATCCTTGTAATGCAAGTGTAACAGTGCAACACTGGTTTCTGATGTTGTGTCTAAATTTTGCTTTGATTCCCACCCCACTTTTCTTCAAGAGTACCTTGCTCAACTCTTTGTTGTTTCTTTAGGCTCTTTGGCCAAGATGGCCTCTGTGCTTCCTGTGACAAGAGAATCCGAGCCTATGAGATGACCATGCGGGTGAAGGACAAGGTATACCATCTGGAATGCTTCAAATGTGCTGCTTGCCAGAAACATTTTTGCGTTGGTGATAGATATCTCCTCATCAACTCGGACATAGTATGTGAGCAGGACATCTATGAGTGGACTAAGATAAATGGGATGATATAGCCAAGACATGCCTCATGGTCTTCAAAAGGCAGTTCACAGGTGACACAAATTCATAGCTACAGTGAGGAGATAATCACTTAAGCTATGTTTTTTGTCTAGAGTGTTGGGGGGGGGGGATAGGGGGGAGTACTGCAGAGTAGACCCTTATCAGGCAGTGCTACATAGAATCTAAACTACATATAAATGAAGAAAAGAAGCTGAAGCAATAGCAAATAGACTGACTTCTATTAGCAAAGGTGTATTGACAATAACTGACATTATCAGCCATGTGGGGTGAGAGTCAGGGAACAAATTGGGTGTGATAATGAATTCTCATAACTGGAAATTCAGTAGTGACTTGTTATGTAAAAAGATATTATGACTTTGATACCTGCAGACTAGGATTGTGCAATTGATTTTTTTTTTTTTTTTTTTAAATCTTTTTTTAGTTACACAGTTTAGACAATAGTTCCCAGTGTAGACAGGAAAGATACTGGAGAGAAAGGGCCAGTCATTTATTTGGTCAGATTCCCCAAGGCCTTAAATTTTGGATGGGACAGCAAGTGACTTTTCTGCATGGTACTTTTTCCCCTGAGAATGAAAAATGCATCCTTTAGCTCCAAACAATTCTTTAAGTAAATTCTAATGAATAGCTGTTTCCAGACACCACTGTTTCAAGATGAGATGTTCCGCAGATCATTTCTATACAAATATAAATCTAAAGAGTTGTTCAACTATTTTATTAACGTAGATTATATCAATAAAGTATTTGTTGTGTGTAGTAATAATCTGCAGCTTTAATAAAAATGACAGAAAGTTTAAGTGTTGTTTCTTTTGACAACATACAATGGCTTGAAGCTGATTTGGATGTAGTAGGCCTATTTATTTCATTTATTTGCAGTAGGACTCATACATTTGGAGCATTCTTGACTCTTATTAAACTTCCCAAGTGTGTGTTCCAAAGCATTAGTCTAAAGCAATGACATAGGAACCTAAGCTGGCCTGAGTGGGTTTCATGGAACTCTTCTTTATGAGGAAGAAGTGGTGTGACCCAAAGGATATTCTGGAGTTGGCTGCCAAGCAGAGAAGGCCATTGTTGAGTTGCCTCACAATAAAAGCCAGAGGCTGTGTGAATGCAAAGGAGTTCATGAGGAAGAAGGGTCTCCAAAGAATCTGGCCGGACCTGCTTTCTTTCAGATTGGCTTGTAAGAGATCTACAGGCAATCAGAACCTCACGGTGTTTAGAAAGAATTACATTCAGGTCCCTTCCTTCAAAGCTATAGGCTCCTCACCAGATTTGTTCAAAGATTTATCATCATCTGTGCTACTGTTATAGGAAAGAAGACTAACCAGTATGTGATCTACTCAGAAGAAGATAGATGTTCATGCCTACACTGGCCAACACTAGAGTTTAGGTAGAATTCAGGGTCCTAACCACTTGGACAACTCCTTGCCCAATTGTTTTTACTATAGTCATCATCAAAGGGCTCACTCGTTTATCACAAGTTGTAACTAGTCCCTACATATAATGTTTTACAATGAATGTTGTCAGAGTCAAGTTCTCTTCCTGGATAGAGTCTATAGTGCAAAGGAGCAGAAAGCTAGCAAATCTTTTTTCTTACCTTAGAAGGATGGATCCAAGTATAGGGACAAAATAAAGATGTGGTAGTAGAAAGAAAGCGTGGTAAGAGTCCTGTTTGGTCAAGTTGTTTTCAAGGGGTTATGCTGACATCTGAGTCCGTAGGGAGCTGATGTAATTAAACAATTCTTTGTACTCTTAAAACCCTTTGAACTATTTCCCAGACTAAGGCAGAAACATAACTAGCCACAGGTCAGGGATTTATAGCTGTGACCTTGCCACAATATCAATGGCTTCTATCAAGTGTTGAGCAAAGATGGACTTCTCTGCCAGCCTACACATCTGACTGATAGCATTTCCTAATAAGCATGAGAGAGGAGTGCTAGAGATCCTGGATCTTGGTGTACATAATGACTTTCAAACTGGAGGGTCCCTGAATTGTTGCTACATGTTTTCACTACGTTGTACCTTGCTGATGGTTACAAACTTCAGTTGACAGATTTGTTTATGTTAGTGGAAACCTGTAACAAAGTTAGGATTTTGACTTCTCTCTACTGCCACAAAAAGAGTTGTTGTGCCAGATACAGATCTTATTTTAAATAATGTAAATTTGTAGTAACTTCCTGGAAGTCATTGGAGTTATACCTGTATAATACCAGTGTTGGGGAATTCAGGAGTATGATTTTGTTTAATCCAAATAGATGAAAGTGTGGGTACTTAATTTCTGCTCACTTCATAGTGTATATTTTATGTATCTGGCTAATACATCTGATATCCTTAAACAGGTTTCGTTTCAGTCTTCTTCATCATGTCTCCAGTCCAACCTTTCTATATAGCCTGCTCCCAATATTCTGTACAGGCCTCTGCTTCTGGTGTTGGTGTCTTGTGGGATGCTTCAGCCACTTGCCACCCCTTGGACCTGCATGGGCTGATATGCCTCACACACCCCCAGGGATGGCTCTGGCTACAGGGCATCTCAGGAGATGATCCATGGTTTTTTCTGACAAATGCATTGGTTGGTTGCATAGAGGTCCCATGATTTCATGAGAAAGTTTCATCTGCCAAGACCCACTATCAATCTGTTCAGGCTCTGCCATGTGTGCCATTTGTAGTCAGAACTGGATGCTAACTCCTCACTGGGGTTAATTACTTCTGACTCCATTCAATAGCTTTGTTGCCTAGTTTCTCTCATTCTTTTTGCCAGAAGGTAGTTCTGGCTGATTCTAATGATGTGGTCAATGGTATGGTAGAAGGCAAAAATTTGTTTCTCTATGAGAAACAACAGTGTGCTGGTTAATGTACATATAGCGGGTGGTGGTTGGCTGCGTCGTGGACCTGCCAGTCAACATCACCTGCTACTTTCCTTCTGATGTAAGGGGGTGCTATGTTAGATAGTGTGTATAGGCAGGGAACTGGTAGATTATGCAACCTGTTATCATTCTGCATGTATCATTTAGGGTGGTGTCAATATTTACTGTGATTTAGTTTCAATGATACTATATAATAAAGAGGCTTATCTGAGATGCCAATACAAATTATTTCACTACCAGCTGAATTGATATTAAGTAGATTAATACTGAACAATGTTTTCAATAGCCCAGGGACATTGTATATGGTTTTATGTTGTAAATAGGGGGATGAAATTTAGATGATCTGTATTTTCTTCACTCCTCTAAGAGTGATTTCTCGTGTGACCCTTTGTAAATCATTTAAATATTCTATCTTGAATCTCACTATACAAAATATTCTTAGGCATGGGTGACTGGTGCCTCCTAAGTCTGGGGGGGGCGGGGGTCCCCAGCAGCTGATCGCTGAGCACGGAACTACCAGCAGTGAAACCAGCGAAACCCGAAGTGCACTTCTGCCAGCACTTCTGGTTTCGCAGCTGGCACTTCCAGGGGGTGTACGACCAGTCTTGTGGGGGGTCTCACCCCTTACACATCACCATTGTTCTTGGAGATACAGTCTTCTCCCATTCTTCTGATGTGGCTGATGCACTGCAACCTTTTCTTCTTGACAGTGGTTTCTAGGTGTGTCAATCCTACACACTTCAATACCTCTGTATTTGGTATTTTGTCCTCCCACTTTATTTTCAGTATTTGACATAGACATCTCATGTGGCTGTAGAAGGCAGGGTTGCCATCTATGGTGGTACCACGATGTGTGCAAAAATGATATGAAGTCATTCAACATCAGTGTAGAAAGCTGGGAGGTGCGCGCAGAATCCTGTCTGATCTGGAGGGAACATCTGGGTGCAACTCCACATGAAGTGGCTTTGATCCAGAAGATGGAAGTAAAGCAAAAAAGAAGAAAGCAGCATGCTATAAATTGGACTCCAATTTAGACAATATATGGATCTGTGAAACTTGTAACAAGCTGTGTCACTTTCAAATTGAGTTTGTCAGTCACAAACAGATTAATCAGGCATCCAACTAGACCTCTTCCATGTACACCATGATCCAGAGGATTGACGTTGCCTGCTAGGAAATATTCTATACCATGAGTTTCCAAACTATAAAATGGGAATAATAACATTTCTTTTGTTATAGTCCTTTACCATCCGTAAAAGGGCATTCGAACAAGTAAAACTTGATCCTTATTTATTTGGGAAGTTTTTTCATTGTAATATAAAACATAAATTTAAACCACTAATGTATTTATATTGTTATGGCATTGCGTGTGTGTGTGTGTGTGTGTATATGCACACCAAACAAAAGTCACTCGTGCCAGAATAGAGGCATCCAGATAGTTACACAATTACTCTCATAGCAGTATAACTACCTATGTCAGTATAACTGGGAAGATTTTCCTCATGTAGATAAACACTAACACATCATGAAACAGGTCACGTGTATGAGGGGTTGGGGATTAGAATAGAGGAAAATAAGCAACTATGAAATATTAAAAGCATAAGAGAATGCCACCCTCCCCTCTGTGAACTGCCTTATTGGAGGTACTTTCTCCCTTCCACATTCCTTCCTCATTCCTGTAAGTTGCTTTGACTGTTATTACTGTTCTCTGTGTAAGCTACATGCATTTGCTCACTGATTTGGTAAATCAGTGTAAATTGTGGTTTATAACCCACACTGGTTTTTCTACTCACTTTCCTTTCAGGCATAACTGAAATTACTCTTAAGTCATTGGTGAACTTAGTTTCCTTAATCCATGGAGAAAGGGATTCCTATCCCCTTAAGAAAAAGAAGCATTACCGTGATGGGTTAATTTAACACACATTTTATTTCCAGCCCCTCTGCAACTATATTCTTTAAAGCAGGACATCTCTCCAGCAATTACAGGAAAAGAAAATGTTCCATCAACAATGGCAAAAATAAAAACAGAAATGATTTTAAAATGGCAAGAGGGTATGTATAATGCTATGAACATTACCTCATCAGCTGCTATTCAAATGCACTGTCCTTTAGACATATTTAATATCAGCATTATTTTAAAAGGCATATCATCATTCAAGATTTTCTTTCGTTGTCCCCATTATTCAATGTCGTGGTAAGAAGATGAGAGCATTACCATCAATATCACTTTTTAATTCCATGCCCTTGAATAAGGGCAATAAGAACCCAGCATAATAGAGTTTTCAGCAGAGAGAGTAAATGGGAAGCAGTTGTTAATGCAATATCTTTCCTGAGTGCAGGGTACAGCAGCTGTCTCTCCCATCTTTTTTCTCAAGGTAATACTGTGCTTCCAATTGTCATTATATCCAAGAATCAAATTATTTGAATTCAGAACACATCAGCACAAAACTGAAGACTCCCTGCCAATTTTGTAGCCTGCTTGGAAGAGAACATCACGGAGCATCACTCATTTATATGACTGCCAGTCTGATGCTGTAAATTCAGAAAACAAGAAGGCCTCAGGTGCTATACTTTAACATGTATTTTGGCTCCTGAATCACTCTCCTACCCCCACACCTACCACACATAAGGTAAGATTTCATCTCCAAGAGCCAAGGCTTTCAAATACATGTTAAAGAGGCTTTCAGACTTTTAATGGCCTGAATGTAAATTGAAAATGAGAATATTAAGTCTATTAATTGATAGCAGTAACTTGTAATGGTAGAAGATTCATGACACATGGACAAGTAATCTGCAAAGATTTTTGTTGCTTTAAAAATACAAAGCAATAGCAATTGATTTAATTTGTAGCAGATTCATTTTATTCATAGAGGATACTGCACTGCAGGCAATGGACATTTTAATGGATGTTGGAACAAATCATGTATCCTTCTGTTGCAAGCCAAAATAGAAACTATAAAAAGCTCTGGAATAGAGATACTATATCAGAGAGATACTGTATCAGAGAAAATTTGAAAAAAAGGTCATCAAATTAAGATTCAAAAGTGGTATCAATCAGATGAAGGTTAAACTGCTGCAAGGTTAAGCCTAATCACAAGCAACCTGTGTCATCCTGCTGGGAGTCGTTCTGTAACAGTCTAATGAGAGGTCGTCTCCTTGAAAAGTACATAATATCGCAGAAGAACTCTGAGAGAATCATTAAGTAAAACAATTTGCATGTCCATAACACAGTCCATCCAAGGATCTCTAAGCATTTTACAGATATTAATGCATTATGCTTCCAGCTGTAAAGATTATAAGTGCCACCTTTGGATGACAAAACCAAGGCACAAACCCAGTGCTACCCAACCTGCCAGCCCTGTAGGCTGGACGAGGGGTGTGTTGTCTGTCTACAGGCCAGATTCCATGTGGGACTGGCACATAGGGTTGGTCTACGGGTATGCCTGCCTGACCTTGAATGCCCAGATCTAGCCTTAGACCAACACGACTACAACCTGCACCCCTGCAGATCTAGCCATGCATTGGAGCAACTCCATACAGTGCATTCTAGCATACAGGGCCACATTATCCAGCCCACAGAGCTCCCCACAGGTCTGGAAATTTGGGGTGAGGGAGCCATGGCAGCATTCATTGATGCTCTCCTGCTGCCAAATTTCCAGACCTGTGGGGACCCCTGTAGGCCAGGTGACACAGCTCCACAGTTTTGAGTGGAGCAACAAAGCAATATTGCACAGCAAGTTTATAGCATTGCTGAAAAGAAAACATAGAACACTTGACTCTCAGGGCTTGTCTATGCTGTAGCTGTAGCCTGTCCCAGCACTGGAGGGCCTGAGCATACCCTGCCCATCTGATAGGGCAGGGTGACCAAGGCAACCACCCTAGGCACCAATTTGGGGGTTGGGGTGGGTGAAAAAAATGGTTGCTACTGGCAGCCACGCAACAGTGATCACAATTGTGTTGGTGGTGCAGCAGCAACTGCAATTTGCTGCCTGGCCGCATCACTATGCTGCCGCATCTGAGCCTGCAGACTTGCTCCAGGCCTGGATATTCCCTAGTGAGTGTGCTCCAGGCTTGTTCTCAACATCTGGTCTCAGCTCAGGGGCTGAAAACTGAGGTGCTGGAAAAAGGTGGTGAAGAAGAGTCCAGAGCAGCCACTGTCAGACACTTCTATCTCTAGAGCTTGTGGACTAAAGGGGGCAGGTCATAAGCAAGGTGTGCTCAGGTCGTCCAACACTGGGATCCATCACTGCTACAATATAGACAAGCCTGAGTTAAACTACTAAACCAAATACTGTATTTTTTTGCATCTCTGGTTATATGGATATTGTTATTTGCATAGCCTCACGTGCTCTGTATCATTGCGGATGTTAATCCTGCAGCAAGTTTCCTGAATTCTGCAATATGCTGGTGGACATTTTGTGGCAGCTGCAAACATTTTAAATAGAGACTTTTAGTGCATTAACTATGACAGTGAATAATGCAGCAATATATACTCAGCTACTAGCAGAACAGGTCACTTGATGAAAATGATTGACTCACCTGGGTAAAGCTGAGCAAGTACATAAGTGTGTACAGAGTATCCATGAGGGCAGATGACTGTGGAGTGATATGGTTGAGAACTGCCCAAGTTTAGTGGTTCTTGCACTCATAGGGAACTAGAGGTTCATCTTCTGCTAGAACAAACAAGCATAATGATAGCATCTGATGAAGTAACCTCTTGTTCACAAAGGCTATGCATCTCTGATTCAGTTAGTCTATAGGTGCATCTCTACCCTGCTTTCTGCCTGACTTCAGGCTAATGCAGCTAACTACTTCTCTCACCTAATGAACTGTACTACTTGAGTTGTTTTACACAGGAGTAGTCATATTTTATTACTGTAATGCCCCCCATGATCTGTTCTTCTAGTGAAGCGTTTGGAACAGTTGAAGAAGAGGTCATTGTTAAGGGATCCATCCAACCTTTACTCAGTGCTATGGCTAGTAAAAAATTTCCATCTACAACATTTTCCCATTTAAAATGGAATTTTTACCTAATCTAAATTTTCCATGAAGAACACTTTACACTAAAATAACTAAACATTCAAATTTCGGATTTCCATCCCTAAAGCCTTCTTTTTTTAAACAAAAGCTGAAATTTATGTGAATAAACAAACACTACACTATCTTACCATCTCTATTCATTTACGAGTATACTCTGAGGGAGCGCCTACATGAGACGCTATGCTACCATAGGGATGAGCTACGGTGACGTAGCTTGTTGCTGTGGCAACGTAGTGTCAGTGGGCATGAACTGTGATGCTGATGCTACTGCGCAGTAGCAACGACCTACTGTGCACTAGCTTGTTGCTGCTGCACTGTAGGGTTGGAAATGACTTGTGCACCGCTGGGACTGAACGTAGCAGTGGTTACTGCACAGTCTCCAGCTTTTTGAATGTCTGTACTTAGCCTTAGTATTTGCTAAAGCAAGTACCAAATAACTGAGCAGTAACAACTGGGCAGTTGGGCGCATGTGTAGATGTGTCTTCAGTCAGCACAAGAAAGGTCAAATTTGTGCTTGGATTAATTCTTGGGTTAATTCAGTTGAAGTCAATAATCAGATGAATGTAGCTGCAGGAGTTTTACTTATACGTTGGTTCTCACTGGAGTAGGGTGGTGGCAGTACTGTAACTGTAGCTGCTGGGGTCAGTGTAAGGACCCTTGCCCTATCATATTTTACAGGAGTGTAAAATACACTTTTTACTTGTTGTTTAAGGACAGTCTCATACTAGGACTGCTAGATGTCACACTGTGTGACAGAGCCTTCAGAAGGCTGCTTGGGTTTTTTAATTATTTTGCTCCAGTTAAAATTCAGTTCACTTTTCTTTTTTTCTTGTTTTGTTCAGTAAGATTTTGTGAGTGAAAAGGATATGAATGAAGTCTGAAAGGCACAAACGGCTTTTTCTTCTCCTTTTTGTTAATTATGTCAGCATTCTGTCTGAAGGACAAAAAGCATCACTCCTGTGTAAAAGCTGCCAGATGGTTGCCAGGCTACTAATGATTGGAAGGGCCAGATTAGCCAAATCCTGCTGGAGGCACAGGTGCAGCAGGTTAGCAAATGGGAACCTGAGACAGGAAACAGGGGTTAAACCCCCCCCCCCCCCCCCAAAAAAAAAAACCTGAAAGTGGCCAAGAAGGAAGCTGAGGAGACACTGGCACTGGCTTTAGGTGCTCTGAGGCTCAAGTACCCACTGAAAAAAATTAGTGGGTGCACAGCACTCACAAGTCATGGCTAACTGCTTGCAGATGTTAACCACCCCCACCCGCAACCCCACCCCAAAACAAAACAAAACATGCTTTACCAGAAGAAGCAGCACATTTCTTCAACCTGGCTCTGCACTATCTGTAAAGATTGGCTGCTTCAGCAGGGCTTTTTGGCACTTTTAGCTAAAGCTGATTCAATCAACTATTAGATAAAAGTGCCAAAAAGCCTCACTAAAGCCCAATCTTTATAGATGCTGCAGACTTAGAGCCAGGTTGAAATAACATCCTACCTCCTCTGGGCATGCATGTGGCTTGGCATGGTAACCCGCCAAGTTTAAATTGCCATTCTGTTTTGGTTTTTTATGTCTGCAAGTACCTACTGGCAAAAACCAAAGTCGGTTCCTATGTAAGGAGAGGGGTGTTGGTACATAGCTGACTAGTGGTTGGCAATTTTTCTTTGGGATAAACTCCTTGTGGTATCATTTACATTTAGCACATATTCTCTTTATAAATATGAGCCAGATATTTGGTGTGTGTCATGTATTGTCTCAATACTCAGATGTATTTTCTCCCCCCTTTAGCCCTAGTGGTTTGGACTGAGCTTGTTATATGATGGGGCAGAGAGCTTCAGCTACCCTTTCTTCTGACATTGTGGTCAAACAGAAATTTCTTGCCTGGTAGAAAGCAAGTCCTTTAAATGGGCAGCTGAGCTGTAGACATTGCATCAATTGAAACATCAGAGAATAGTCTCCTGATTCTTGTCTGCATCCTGCACACCCTTCCATTAGTACTATGGCCTGCATTTGATGTTGAGTATTATTACCAATGTCAACCAATATGCTAATCAGCTTTTTTGTATCCTCACAGTGATTTAAGATACATTGTCTGCTACTCTTTCCTTTATTTTTTAAGGAAACTAGCCCAATGAAAATGGAATTATCCTGCAGAAAGAAAAATAAACCCCAACCAGTCAGGGTCCTCAAGCATTCTAAGCACTGCCTATGACAGTGCTGACATTTCAAGGCAATAACCCCCTGAAATACCTACGATGGATAGTTTAGATTCATCAAAATGAGGGCCCTTTAGAATTCAGGGCAATTCTCTTGCCATGTTACAAAGGAATGATTTGAAATACTGTAGTTATGCTTTATTTATGCCCAGAAGGTGAGTGGGCCCAAGGAGCCTTGGTGCAGTTCCTCTGAAATGGTTGGAGTTAGATCAGGGGTGAATTTGACCTAATATGTGAATGAGGAGTATGCTATTTGGCTGATAAGGAACTGAGAATGTGCATCAGCACACAGTTTGTTTATATTGTAATAACTGTTTTTGAGTACTACTATGGAAAGAGTCTGGTCTGCATTGGATAGATAAGGGTTCTTACCAGAAGGGATGACCAGAGGCCACATGAGTCCCCCTGAGAACTTCAAAAGAGGAGCCCTCATTGAGAATGGATGACTCAAAAAACACTTAAGGAGCTCTGGTGACTTTTATCTCTATGTCACCTCTTCAAACCCAGACCAAGCCAACAGAAATCTAGAGTTGTTGCTATCTGATGATTGTTAGGTGGACTCAGTTTTTTGTTTCCACTGAACAGGTGTCTGCATTCTAAGAAATCACCAACATGGTTGTGACTAACTGGCAACCTTGTTGATAAAAATGAGCTGATGTCTTGCTCTTATAAACAGTCCCTTTGGGTCAGAGAGGAAGCACAATAAAGAGGCAGTGTGGGAAAATATGCATGGTCACCCCATACATTCCATAGTTAAAAACAGAGCTTCATTTTCCAGGCTTTCAATGTAGTGTTAAATACACGGGCACATTTAAATAATTAGGGTTCTAGTACTCTCTATGAGATCATCAAAATTATGCCACATTAAGGCTTATTGCTGATGGGGTCTTTTACAGTTCACAGATGTCCAGGGCTATATCATCTTATTAGCATCATGAGTCATCCAAAGTGACAAGCGTTGCAAGTAAAAGGAGCAATAAATAGTCCTGAGGCTCCATTACTCCTTCCTTAACCCAAATTAAGAGTGGAATTAACTTTCTTATGCAGAATGACACTTAAAATGTCTTCTGTGAACTCTACCAATGTTAATCTACAAAAACAAATGAGCACATAAAATAAAAAGATATTGTATTGCTCTGAGATGAGGCCATCTACTGACCATTCAGTGCACTGTGATTCTGTACTGCATTATCTGATTTACACTTCTGGAAGCAAAGGCCTTGTCTTTCTCTAAGTTATTTGGAGTTTCCAGGATACTGCTGATCACCTGTACAAAAAACAAGCCCTGACTATTTTTTTGGCACTCAACAACATTAATGTTTACAGTTGTAGTGGTCTCTTACATTCTGGTTTTAAGGAAAGAACACTAGGTGAAAAAACCCCCAGCTCAGAACTGAGCAGATGTGCAAGAAAAAAAGTTGTTTTTGACAATTTGTATCCCTGTGAACTCTGTCTGTCTGAAGAGCCCAGTATATTACAAACATCCACCAATTAGTATTCCCAGTTTCACCAGAGCTACATAAAAGTTTTAGACCTATTTTAAAGTCTATAAGTTTGGTAGTCAGCTTTAGTGCCCTTGATTAGATAACATAGGAATCTACATTCCAAACTGTGCAGCCCAGAAGAGGAGTAGAGGTGGCTTCATGCTACCTTTCATGTGCTTTCAAAACTCTGGGCAGGTGCAGGAGATGCATAGCTATCAATTATTTAGAGCAGTTCCATGGAGCCATCTGGCAACTCAGAATCATCTGAACACAACTACTACGGACAAACTACTCCTGTCCTTGACATTCCTCTAAGTCAGGGGCTGCAAGATTCAGTGGTCTGATGCTATTATAGTCTGGGTCCTAAACCAGCAGGAAATTACTCCGGGGCAGATTTTTTCCC